ATATTTTTATCCATCCAAGATCTGATGTTAAGATGGAATATATCGGTCGGCTCCTTCTGGTATCTCCCCCACAAAAGGTCGAAATTTTCAAAAAATATTTTTTGCACAAAAAGAGAAAGGATAATCCGATTTTGCTCCAACTTTGTAAATCCTAATATTTGCGCCAGTGCTACGTCAGGTGCGAAAATGAACAATATCGGTCCACTCCATTAAGTACCTCCCCTACGAAGGGTCAATATTTTGAATAATTACAACTCTTATAAAATGTGTTGTAAGAGTCCGATTGTTTCACACATCCCAATTTTTTTTGTTAGCCCAAGGTCTGGTATCAAGATGGAATACATCGGTCCACTTCTTCTGGTACCTCCCCCACAAAAGGTCGAAATTAAAAAAAAAAAAAAATATTTTCTGCACAGAAAAAGAAGCAATAATCCGATTTTGCTCCAACCTTGTAAATCATAATATTTGCGTCAGTTCTAGGTCAGGTGGAAAAATTGATAATATCGGTCCACTACATCAAGAGCCTCCCCCACAAAGGGTACAAATTTTGAATAATTATAACCCTTTTGAAATGTGATGTAAGAATCCGATTGTCTTAAAATGTCAAATCTATATATATAAAAATCAATTGTTGTTTGTTGGTAACGGAATCAGTTGAAAACGGCTGGGCCGATTTGCATAATTTTTTGTACAGACGTTCGTCATACCCCGAGTTAGGTTTTTGAAGAAAAAAATATTGACCACGCCTCCTTTTACGCCCACTATTACGATTTATCTGAAATCTTTATATTTGCCAAAATAGTGAAGATATCGGTTTGAGAATTATTACACGAGATGCTGTTGGCTTTCCATCCAACCCTAAGTACTTATTTAGGGGCTGAGGAACGCGCCTACTTTTAAATCTATCTCTCTATATGTAAAAGAAAGTTGTGTTAGTTACTACTCTTATAACATAAAGACCGCAGGTCTGATTTTAGCGATTTAGACAAATTGGGAATTGCCTCTAGGCAGAAAAGAATAAAATCCAAAAAAATCGCGTAAAAATGTGAAATTTGAACATTTTCATTTTGACTTTTAAAATGTACAATAGTAATGTTTTATATTGCATATTTTTTTCCATTTTGACTTACTATTTTCGAATGTACATTTGTAGTGTTTTTTTTTTTTTTTTGAATTCTAATATGATGTGTAGGTTTTTTTTTGGGTAATATAAAGCCACAACGGATAAAACTGTTATTTATAGATTTTATGTATTTATTCGTAATACCCAAAAAATACATAAAATCTATAAATCCGTTGTCGCTTTTTACGAAAATTCTAGAATCGGGAAAAATCGACAATTTTTCAATGGAATCGAATTTCAAAATAAAAGTACATTCTACCGACAAACTTAGTAATCACCTTTAAAAATTTGCCGCAAAAAATCAGCGAACCAGTTGAAGATTCTTTTTCTTTTTTGTATATTGAAGTGTAAATTTTTTTATTGGTTTGAATTCTGAATGAATAATATAAAAATGAAATGAGAGCGCAATACGATGTTAAATGCTTTCTACTCCAGGACCTACATCGTGCTTCAGCTGGAAGATGCGAACACATTTAAACAAACAAAAATGACCGAAGAAGCGTTATGGGGTTAATTTCAAAAAGTGGACCTGCTTCTTTCATATGACAATAAATTGTCAAATAAAAACACAAAATGCAAAATACATTGGGACTGCAATCAGTCAAATACCGACTTTAAAGAGCGCAAAATAGAAATTCTACATAAACATTCAAGATACCTTAAATCGCTTTGGCAGGTCATAATATGGATCATAACCCCTGATAACGGAACAACCCGATTTCAAGTATATTCTACATTTTAACCATATTTTTCGTACTAATTTTAGCTTATGTTGATAATTTAAGAAGAAACCATCTTTGCAAAAAATTATCACGTTTTGGTATCATCATCATATGATTTACGGTATTTTCGGGGTCTTGGCCACTTTTTTCATTTTCTGGCACTTATTTGATATCTTTGTTTCTAAGGGGAAAGAAAACCTCTTCTTATAAAATTTTTATTTTTCGGAAAATGGCGCATCTTAGTCTTGAGGCTACTTGGGGTAAAACACCCTGGAGTAGAAAATCATCTTACAGATAATTATCCACATAGGCATTTATTTAAGTATAGTCCCCACATTAGTATACCCCCAAGTCCACTTTCCCAACCAATGTGTCATCAGAAAAGAAAATTTGGTATTCTATTGAATTTGTACGTCTATATGAAATAAACTCCGAAAAAAAGGAAATTATAAAGTAACTTTATTGGATCTCCACCGCACAATTTAAATGACAAACAATTAATGCCCATCTCACGGTAATCGGAGCAAAAGAGTAATTTTTTGGCTATTCTGACAACATTCTGTCTTCAAGTATGAGGTGGACAAAACTAAATACCACGCAGTACGGGATTTTAAACGTTGGAAATACAAATTTCAAATTATAGCTCATTTGAATGCTTTTTACAATACCAAAAAATGAGCTGACTTTTCACATGGGGCTATTATAGATGTTCATATAGGTATTTAACACTCAAATTAAAGCCTACAACTGAAAAATAAGATCAGGCTATTCAAAATATCTGAAACCGACGGTAATTATAATTTTTGCCATTATAATTACATAAGTCAGATCTGTGATTTATTATGCTTTAAAGACTAAAAGTATGGGCCGGCAACGCGGACCGGGCCAGCTAGTATCCATATATTTTTATAAACCCAAGATCTGGTATTAAGGTGGAATAAATTGGTCCACTCCTTCTGGTACCTCCCCTACAAAAGGTGTAAATTTTGAATATCCATTAAGCTCATAAAACGCGAGATTACCATCCGATTCCATTTTGATTTGACACATCTGAATATTTCCATCAATCAAGCGATCGGAGTACTCCTTCTGGTAACTCCCCCACAAAGGGTGAAAGTTTTGCTTCGGTCGACTATATCTGGTACCTCACGCACATTTCAACATTTTGTAAAAAATATCACATATCTCATATAAAGTGGAGGAAGTTACCAATAAAGTTCAAACCTGGCACGACAAAATATTTATATGATATGTGTTTAGGTCTGATACAAAATTAACAATATTGACCCATTACTTCATAACCCATTACTTCAGAAGGTCAACAATTTGAATAATTATAACAAAAATCAAAATATACATTGGCTGAGGGTATACATCTGTCGGCTAAACCGAGATATACATTTTAACTTGTGTTTATTGTCCAAGTCTAAATCGGGTTAATTGACTTTACCATACCATGTTTTAAGTTTTTAATTTAAACCAGAAAAAAAAATACAGGGCATTCATTATCCTTGTAATTTCAGTTGCTTTAGTTTTGGCCACTAGCGTATGTACACATAAGGTTTCTGCCTGGATTAATAGCCAGCAACTGATATTAAATATTGACATCTACGGCTAAAATAGAACATGATCAGCTATTTAGCTCAGGACATAACTATTTAGTTCGTTTTTGATAAGCTAGCTATTTTTGTTTAGCCCTAACTCACAATGAAGCTAAGAATTCATCACACAATAAGCTATAGCTCGGATTTGGCTGCTATTTTCGTTTTAGCCGAAAACATATTTTTATGGTTGTGTGTTGTCAACGTAAATTAAAAAAAAACACGTACATGTGTTTTCGAGCTCGTCAGCTAATCTAATTTAGTTTGTCATTCCGTTTGTAACACCTCAAAATATACATTTTAGTCCCCACAAAGTATATATATTCTTGATCAGCATAAAATTCTATGTCGATTTAGCTATGCCCGGTATTTTGATGATTTTAGCGAAACTTTTTCACCGGAATTGTTTCAAATTTGGAATTTGAAGTTCGTAATGGATACAACAGCCTGTGACAGAAAATTGTCTGCGCAGGTTAACGTCTTCGTATATCCCCCATATAACGGTACCTCCCGATATTTGATACTTTGAAGATTTTAGCGACATTATTCACCGATTTTTTTTCAAGTTTCGCATTTGAATGTTGTAATGGCTTATGGCAAAAGTTGCCTATGTAGGTTCACGTCGTCGTATAGACCCTATTATAACAGCTACATTACGTATTTCGGCCCGGCCAAACTTAAAGCTTTTTTACTTGTTTTTTTTTTTATTTTATTTTTTTGTAATGTGTTGCTATATGTTGGCGTAGCTCATTGATAGGCAACATATTTCGAAGGATTTTTTTTTCAGGCAAGGCTGAAAATTTTTGGAGCTATTGCTTATTTGGCGTTATTGAAAAGTATGTTCTCTCCTTGCAAAAAATGTTCGCGTAGGGTCCACTAATTGGTATTGCAGATCTGCTTCATATCAGTTGAACATTTTTTTTTAAAAAACAATGACTCGACTTAATATAAATAAATACCCATGGCAAATTGTCAATATATGTTTACGAGCCGATCGATTTTAAGTGTTTTAATAGACCTGATCCAATTTTTCAGCAATAGGCTTTAATTTGAGAGTTAGAAACTTGAATGATATAGCACATTTATTAACAATTATATATCAACTGTTGTAAGAGCTCAGCCTAATTTTTAGTATTGTAAAGAGCTTAGCAACATTTTCCATTCAAATGAGCTGTTGAGAAGAAGCATAAGAATTTCAGAATAGTAAAATTGAATTACTCTTTTACACTCATTACCATAGCACCTCAAATTGTGCCGCTTAACCAACGGCACCAAAAATCGTCATTTTTAACAATTTTAGGCAACACTCAAATTTTAAAATGTTAAAATAAATTGTAAAATGTGGCGTAAAAAGTCAATTTTATTTTTCTCTTTTACAAGATATTTGCTCAACTTTGATCTATAATTACATATTTTACATTTGCAATGCGACCTATGTGTCACTTCATGCATGTAACCTCTATAAATGAATATATTAAACCTGCTATTTTTGTTAATATGTTCGCAGAGTGCAAAGGATTGATTTAAGAATTAAATGCTTCATTTTCTATTTAGAATTCCTTTCCCTGCAAGTGCCTCACGCTATTACCCTTTTGGAAAAGCTAGATCTTCTCTGCATTGCCGATCGTGAAAATATGAGGGTTGTATGCCCAAAGTAAGTACTGATAGCCATAAATAAAAATGTATACATGATTTATAAATATATATTTTTCAGGGCAGGCCTAAGGTCATCTCAAGGAGAGGGACAACCAGCAGTAACCATTCAAGAACCGGACTTCGGGAGAGTATTTGGAGTTGCAGCGTATGGAAATTTTGTGTATGCAATAAATGGGCCTACTTCCATGCTACCAGTTAGAGGGTTCACTTTAGATCCTCGTTCTGAAACTATTATTGGTCATTGGGGCAATTTCAAAAGCCCCCACTCGATCGCTGTCAGCGTAAATGATTCCGCTTTATACGTCACAGAAATAGGAACAGATCAACTTACCAACCGTATCTGGAAATATGTTTTGGTTTAAACTGCGCACAGCAATTATTTATGTCATAAGCACTGAGTAGCAATTGTAATGTATGTACACACTTATGGCAAATCAAAATAAATGAAATATATTTATGTTCGAGTAGAATTACAATTGCTGTAGATTCGTATACAGAAACTTCGTTATAAAATTTAAATCGGATAACCATGACATGTCGGATAACCATGATCAAATCGGATAACCGGATCACAAGGATTGCGTGATCCGGCTTTAGAGCGGTTTAAATTTGGCAATGAATAGAACCGACATATGAAAGTTATATCTTAATCTTAACCGATTTCCACTTAATTTAAATAAGGAATTGCTCCAGATGTTCTCTGCATACTGATATCATATGACTTATATATCTTAACTGTCCTTCGTATAACCCCACATAACAGTAACTCCCTATGTTAGGTATTTTTATGATTTAAGCAGTATTTTTCAACAGACTTTTTTTTTCAATTTGCAATTTCCTTCATGTTCGGCCAGGCAGAACTTGCTGCTTTTTTAAGTGTTATAAAAACGACAATTATGGGATTATTCCCAATTATTTTGAAAAACAAAATAACTAAGTTATTCCAGACAAATCTGGAGTGGTATTTCTAGGTTATGTCTAATATCGTAGACAAAATATCAATAGTATAGAATGTAACTTACGTCTTTGGGGAACTTAAATATCAAAAAACGGATGAAACACATATATGAAAGCTACAGCTATATCTGAACCTATTTCCACCAAATGAGACACACAACCCCTAAGCCTGAAATCGGGCGAAGATATATATTAGAGTTATATCAAAATTTGCACCGATTGTCACCAATTTCAATAGCCTTCGTCCTTCAGCCGAGCAAACGATCTGTGCAAAATGTCATCTCAATCGAATAATAAATGGTATATGTACTTTACTTTACGCTTCTCACAAACAAATGCACAAAGACATAATGCCCTGTACCACAATGGTAGTAAATTGGTAGCAATGGATTGAAGGAAACGAGTTTTTAATGTTTCTCCAGATTTATAACGACCAGCGTTCCAAAATAAATAGTACACAAACATAGTGTACTGTACCGGTACAGTATGTCTAAAAATTATTTTAGTGATACTGTACCGGAACACAACGATGATCGTAGTGTACCGCAGTCGGAACACTAAAAAATTGTAGTGTACCGGAGTCAAAGCACAAAAAAGTAGTGTTCCGCAATCGGAGCATTTAAATATCGTAGTGTACCACTACTGTTTTTAAAAACTCAGCCATACTTAGTAAAATATTTAGTTTTTTACGCGTACATTCAATGATTTCTCGGTACCACAAAATAACAGGTAAATTATCTGCAGAATAACCCATTACAACGCAACCAATAAAATACCATTTTTCGCGGAAGATTAAAAATTTTAATTTTCAATGGTTAAATACAAATTATTATCACTTCAGATTTGGTCATTTTTTATTCTTTCTACCTATTCTCATACTTTTCTACCATCTTCAATTTCGCAAACAATCTAATGACATGTAAAAAAAAATCAACTTTTATTTCATATTATTGAATTGTATTAGTCATTTGTGATCAGAAACATCCAACATGTATTTTTTCAAAAATCGTAAACAACAAACATGTTCCGCAATGTGCTCCGGTACGGTATCCCTTTTTATATATATGTAAATATTTTTTAAGTGTTGTGCTCCGGTACGGTACATTATCTTAGTGTACCACTCCACCTCGAAACTGTAGAAACACTACGGTACAGTACTATACTGTTTATTTTCGAACGTTATTAACGACACCACACATTTCGTGGGTTTCTAGCTAACCATTAAACGATGTTGGCATTTTGAAGGTCGATTTGAATTAGTTCCATTCGCTACGCCCAATCAGGATTGTTTTAAAAATCACTTGTAGGATTACAGTACTTTGAGTTTTTTTACATTTCCGCATAAAATTTTGAGCGAAGCCATATTTTTTGGCCACATTTTAGCTGTCATTACATTCATAATCAAATAAAACATTGATCGTGAAAATCCATCTATTGGACCAGCGGTTACTAATGCATTGAAAACAGGAAAAGCGTAGTAACCCGAATATATTTCTGATATTTCCACTTCAATAAAGAAACTGTTGCACCTTCCGTGTTCTTACGGAATGAGAGATTTAAAATCTTTACTAGTAAGAAAGCCGTACATCAAAAACATCATGATGAGTCGTTTTTTAAATTTGTTTTACATCCATTCTGATGTTCATGGTAGATGCTGAATTCCGACGAGCTTCAAGGGTGTATGAACTTAAAAGAGTAGCACAAGACGAATTGTGCGAACTGTGCTATTTATGATATGATCGACATTGGCACTCAACAACAACTACCATTTTGATTCATGTCTGTCACTGTCAAAGGTTCCATCGTGACATGATCGAGCCGACCATTTACATTGTGTTCTCAAAAAAAAAAAAAAAAAAAAAAAAAACAGTGTGTCGACGATGACAGCAAACCATGTCATCAACATTTTTGTACGTGTGCTTAAGTTAATAAAACGTACAAACATTTTCCTCCTTTAAAAATTATAACTTGCTGACCGGTCCGCGTTGCTGTCCCATCGTTTTATTATTTAATGCTTTATAATCTTCAAATCAAAATTGTTGTTGCAAAGCTATGCCATTTAAAACAAGTTAAAAAGCAGTAAGCGGCCGGGCCGAACTGTGAATACCCTCCAGCATTTGGAACGAATTTATACATTTTCAAAAAATAAAATCCTTAAAAAAATCTGTTAAAATTTAAAAAATACCGAAAATAGCCTATGCCTACATAGGCATTGTTTGTTATAAGCCATTACCATATTCAAATTCGAAGCTTGAAATAAGCGGTGAATAATATAGCTAAAATCATCAAAATATCGTATATAGGGAGGTACCGTTATATCGGACCTGTGCGAAGACCTGGACCAGCATAGACAATTTTCTGTCACAGACTATAACATCCATTACGAACCTTAAATACGACATCTCAACCACGTTTTTATATAGCCCCCATATAAAGGTTCCTCCCGATATTCGGCATTTTGATAATTTTAGCGACATTATTAACCGGAATTGTTTCAAGTTTGGTATTTGAAGTTCGTAGTGGATACTACAGCCTATGACAGAAATTTGTCTGTGCAGGTCCATGTCTTTGTATAGCCCCCATATAACGGTACCTCCCAATATTCGGTATTTTGATTATCTTAGCGTCATTATTTAACGGAATTGTTTCATATTACGTATTTAGAGTTCGTGATGGGAACTACAGTCTGTGACAGAAAATTGTCTATGCAGGTCAAGGTCTTCGTATAGGCCCTCCCTATATATTTTAAAAAAATTTAACAGAATTTTTTAGGGATTTTATTTTTTGAAAATTTCCAAATTCGTTCCAAATGGTGGAGGGTACTCAAATTTCGGCCCGGCCGAACTTACTGATTTTTAACTTGTTAGAATTCCATTTGGAACTGAAGATAAAGCATCAAAATCGGATGCACCTCCAGAAAATTTAGTTTTGAATGCACATATATATTGAGCGGTTATAGATATAGTCTCCGAATTTGGAATGTGTGACGGAAATCGATACAAAAATAAATTTGCCAAATATCAAATCGGTTCAGATTTGAATATAGCTTCCATATATATTTTCGGCCAATCTCACATATTTGATGCACCACACACTGTCCGATTCCAATGAAATTTTAAATTAGTGACGGAATTTGGAACAAGAATTATTTTGCCAAATTATATTGAAATCGGTTCTGATTTGGATATAGCTCTCATTTGTATTGCTACCTCGAATCCCACTAATAGATAAAAAATACGGTTTAACTTTAAACAAGTAAAAAACCAGTAAAGAAATTCTTAAAGTCGGGCGGGGCCGACTTTATGATACACTACACTACTTTGCTAATTTAGTAGAGCTCCACATAACAATTAAAAGTTTTGATGGGAGAATTCAATCATACACGCTATGATTAAAATTATAATTTAAAGTTCAAGAGACTAAATATGTCGACTTGTATTGCCCATTTGGTGCACAATTAATTTGAAATCGGATAAAGATACATATGGGAGCTATATCCAAGTCTGAACCAATATCGATAAAATTTGGAAAATATATTTCTGAGCTCTATTTGATATATTTCCCTGAATATCTTGTTACGGAGTGCATATTACGGCTGTGGGTAACAAATATAACAAATCGGATGAAGGATATATGGGACCTATAGCTATATCTGAACCGATCTTCACCAAATTTGACATACTAGCTTCTAGACTCAATTCGGTCATAAGTGCCAAATTCCATCCCATTTGGATAAATATTAGAAGTTTGGTGCACAATAAAAGGTAAATCGGACGAAGTTATATGTGGGAGCTATATCCAAATCTGAACTGATCTCGAAAAAAATTAGCAAAGGTATTTCTGAGCTATATTTGATATATTTCCCCAAATATTGTTCTTACAGAGTGCATATACGGCTGCGGAGGACAAAATTAACAAATCGGATGAACAATATATTCGGGAGCTATAGCTATATCTGAACCGATTTCGATCAAATTTGGCATACTTATTTTCAGGCCCAATTTGGTTGTATGTGCAGGATTCCATACTATTCCGGCTGATATTACACGTTTGGTGCACAGTAAAAGGCAAATCGGACGAAGATTTATATGGGAGCTACATCTAAATTTTGACCGATTATCTCCAATTTCAATAGGGTTCGTTCGTGGACCAAACAAATGATCTGTGCAAAATATTATCTGGATAAGGCAATAAAAGCGAACTGTACTTTGTTTACAAAAAAACATCGACAGACGGACGGACATGCATATATCGACACAGAATGTGATTCTATGCAGTTCATCAAAAGGAACTATGGGTCTATCTCGTTTCCTTATGCCTGTTACTAACAAATGCATAAAGACATAATACCCTGACTACTTGTGGTGTAGGGTATACACATTATGTTCGGCCGGGCCAAACTTTTAATACCCCCCACCTTAAAGGTAAAGGAAACATTAGAACCCATTATGAACAACAAAAAATGTGACAAAATCATCAAAATACCAAATATCGGGAGGTACCGTTTTATGGGGACTAT